GAGGCCGACGGCCGCGCGCTGTTTTACGGTACTTCCATTTTCGCAATTCACACAAGCAGTGTTCAAGCGTTCGCGGAGTTTGTGGGGGCAGTAGGTCCTTCGTGCATTCGTTTCTGTCGGTGGAAAAGCGAGACCACACTGCCCGAAAGCGAGCGGGTTGTGGTCCCCATTTCGGGTGAATGATGTGGTCCAGGCCCTGCTCTGCGCCGTCCAGGACGTGCATGCAATGCTCCATGGCGTACAAGGGTCCTTTGGGATCGTTTGCGGATATCACAGCCAAGTGCCCACATACCAGAGTCCGCACCACTGGAGCCATGCGAAGCTCGCAAAGCAAAAGTTGTTCCACCATATGGTTCCCTTCTGCTGTCCCCCCCACGGGGCCGCGCGCCGCCCATAGGCGCGAGAGGAGGTCACCATCTGGTACTTGCACACGAAGTTTGGGCACGACTAATATTTCCAAACTTTGGCGTTCCTCCTTGGATTTGGGCCTCACGAAAGGGCCACGACCGAACCGCCAGCCCTCCCGCAGCAGAGCACAATCGGCACCTACGTATCTTAGGAGGCGGCAACTACAAAACTTGTCCGCCGCGGGGGGGATAACAAACAAGACGTCCCCAACAAAGGAGATCGTCGTCGTCTTTTTCGTGTTCGTCGTCGTCGTCGCCGCCGTCTTCGTCGTCGTCGTCGTCGTCGTCGTCGTTGTCGCCGTCGTCGTTTTCCTCCTCGTCCTCGTCGTCGTCGTCGTCGTCGTCGTCCTCGTTGCCGCCAGAGGCAAAAGGGTGCCCCGTGGCGATCGAAAAGAATGCGCCGCACACCTGAAAGGGTGCCGTCGGGGTCCCTTACAACGCACGTCCGTCCAGAGTGTTTTGCGCGAAGCGGGTGTGATATCATCCAGCGCCTCTGGCCGCGGTTGTGTAAATTTGCACAGCCAGCTGAGCGCGCCAGTGGAGAACGACCCTTCTGCAGCCAGGAGTCGGTATATTTCGTTCCTATCCCACGTTTCAAGCAAAGGCAGCACTTTGGAGAACGCTTCACTGTTGTTCGCCACCGTGACTGCCCCAATGACCTGTAGCACATCATCGGCACACAGGGTCTCCGCGTTTTTGACCACCGTGCTCGCCGAACTCGTTATTTTTGTTGAACAGCGGTCCAGGGCGGGATCACTGCGGCACCGAGCCATGCCTTCGAACTCGGGACTCTTGTACAAGTCCCTCCCGTGTTGGGACAAGTTTGGCCACACAGTGGCTGCGACCTCCTCTCCGTGAATTCGACGGATGTCGTCGTATTCTAACGCATCACGCACAGCAAGTAAATCCCGGTACCCTGATTCCGTATGTGCAACAAAAACTTCCGCCAGTGCCCTCCACCCCGCGTCGCTTACTGGTTGGCCGCCCAACTCTCCGGTGGTGAGGGCAAGCTGGGATGTAGCCTTGCACAGGCACGTGGTGTGCGCGTAGTCCGCTACCTTGCTCCTGCACGGTGTAAGCGCATTCTCAGGTCCTCGGTAATCCAGGTCCCCAGAGCGACCGAATCGGAAGGGCCCGGACTCTAAGATTCGAAGTGCCCCGATCTGGGTGCTGCCCCCTCGTGTTTCTGACAAGTTTTCGATGGACTTGTGTGGGGCCGAGGACAGCCCTAACACCGGCGAAGAGCATCCCGAGAAATCCCTAGGAGTTCTGAAGAAGGCCCCGAGTCGCAGAACGATCTGTCGAAGACGCCCGATGGGGCCCTAGCTGGTCCCGGAAACCTCCAAGACGTCCGGGGAGATCTCGAAGAGTACTCCCAACAGGGCCCCCAGAGGCCGTACTTGTCTTGGTCCTGTAGATCCGAATGCAGGGGCCAGGCGGTCTGACAGTGTTTCTATGTGCGTGGCTGAAGTGGATATCCGCGTTGGGGGTGGTGTTGTCGTTGTTGTTGTTGTCGCCGTCATCATCGTCGTCATCGTCTGAGCGGGTGGATTGCGGGTGGTTGGCGCGTGGGGCGCGGCGCAGGTGTGCGTCGTTGGGTTTCTCTTAGACGGCGTCGGGGCCCCAAGACAGGAGAACCTAACATTGTGTACATCTTTTCAATGCAGACGTCCGGAGAGATCTCGAAGAGTACTCCCAACAGGGCCCCCAGAGGCCGTACTTGTCTTGGTCCTGTAGATCCGAATGCAGGGGCCAGGCGGTCTGACAGTGTTTCTATGTGCGAGGCTGAAGTGGATATCCGCGTTGGGGGTGGTGTTGTCGTTGTTGTTGTTGTCGCCGTCATCATCGTCGTCATCGTCTGACAGGGTGGATTGCGGGTGGTTCGCGGGTGGGGCGCGGCGCAGGTGTGCATCGCCGCGAGCGGGTCGCTGCGAGGGTTGGTCGCGGGCGAGTCGCGGCGCTGATGGTCTCGGAACAGGGGGGGGGGGCGCGACTGGGTCGCGGCGTAGAGGCCCCCTTGGAGCTTTCCTAAAGACCTCGTAGAACCTTCCGGAGGTTTTTGGGTGTCTTTGAGACGGCGTCGGGGCCCCAAGACAGGAAAACCTAACATGGTGCACATCTGATTTTTTATTTATAATTTTTCCACGCGTCCGCCTTCGCATTCGTGAACGAGGGGAAGGGGAGGGCGAATTTCAAGGTCCAGGCTCTTCCGAATCGTTCACCCAGCGACCTCATGATGCCCAAGGGCCTGAGACGACGCTCACTCGGTGAAGGGGCAAGGTGGCGGATGACCCGCACGCGGATCGCGTGTGCAAGGCCACGTTCAAGCATGCCACTATCACGGAGGATTGGACCGGCGAGCCAATAACAATGATCGGTTGGTGCATGTCTTCTCTGCACACACGGAGTGCGGCTACGAGGATCTACGTGCTGAACGCGATGCTATCGAGTACGACGACATCCGTCGGCTTGGCGGATAGGACGTCGCAACCACTGTGCAGCCACCGCCACACAACAAGGGGGGGCTTGCACAAGAACTCCGACTTGACAGGTATGGCCCGGTGCCGTAGCGACAGCGCCTTGCACCGCTGCTCAACGTATACCACGAGGTCGGCGACTTGGGTGGTCATAAATGCACGGACCCCGTGTCCGGATGAAGTGCCACAGGCTTTTGGGGCAATCGCAAGGACGGCGTGTACTGATCCCTGGCTGCAGAATGGTCGTAATCCACTGGCACCTGGGTCTTGGCGCTCAGATGGCTGTGCAAATCTACGCAAATGCGGGCGGAGGCGCTCAATGATATCCCACCCACCTCGCGAGAGTTTTTTTTGGCGGACGTGCTCCGCAAGGGGCCCCGGCGGCAGGGGCCCCGGCGGCATCCTTTAAGGTCTTCGGCGCATTCATTTCGATCGTCATGGGGCTCGTAATTGTTTCTTGCGTAGACGACGACGACGACGAGGACGACGACAACGACGACTACGACGACGACGAGGATAACCACGACGACGACGGACGCCTTGGTTGGGGACGTCTTGTTCGCTTATTCCCCCCATGCGGCAAAAGAGGCTGTGCATTTGCCGCCTCCTAAGATAGGTAGGTATCGATCGTCCTATTCTTCTTCGTCTTCTTAGGGCTCGCGGTTCGGCTGTGGCGCTGAAGTTGGCCCAAGGAGCAAGGAGAACCGCCAAAGCTAGGAATACTTTAGGGTGGAGCTTGTTCGCTAGGATATGTGGACGTGCCCAAGCTCCACTGGAAAATCCCTCAGGAAACCTCCTCTCCCGCTTATGGGGCTGCGCGCAGCCCCATGCGAAGGAGGACCCCGAGAGACACACCAGATGCTCCCACACCTCCCGAACATGTACCAAGGTTTCCCCCATAGGTCCCTCAGGAAGACACGAGAATCTCCCAGAAGTGCTCCCAAGAGGCCCGTAGCCGCGCAAACGATGCTCCCAAACTGGTTCCGGCAAGGCTCCGAAAACGCTATGAAGAACATCCAACAATCATTTTTGAACAGTCGTTTCCGAAAGGGCAGGACAGGCGGTGGGATGGGCCGAACGCCAGCCGATACGAGCCGCCTTCACGGACCTGCTTCAGCCGGAGCGCCTCCGATGAGGCTTCGAGCACATCCACTATAGCTTTTGGAAGGACGTCGCGTGAGCTGAAACCGGGTGAATCTGTCAGGCAGAGACAACACACCCGTGGCATGCCGCCTCCGAGGTGAACCAAAACTGCCACGGGAGATTCGCAACGTCGGTTGCACGGCAGTGTTTTGGTTTCGAGTGGCTGTCCATCCAATGCTGGCCCGTGGCTACGCGGAGACTCGGGTGCTACTCGTGCGGTGGGAAGAGGCCTCAAGATCGGCCCAAGATGGCCCAAGAGATCCCCAAGAGGGGCCCAAGAAAGCCGCAAGAGGGCGCCAAGAGCGTCCAAGAGCTCCCCAAGAGCGGCCCAGGAGGGCATCAAAACGCCCTTTGGTAGCCCCCGATGGGGGGGGAGGGAAATAAAGTACTCCCCCTTCTTTTGAGCCATGGGCCCCAAACGGCCCCAAGAGACCTCTCATACTGCCCAAAAGAACCCCAAGAGGGCTCCAAGATGGCCTGAAAATATCCCCAAGAGGGCCCCAAGAGGATCCCTGGAGCCCCAAGATGGCTCCAAGAGACCCCCGAGAACCTCTCAAAACAACACCTCCACCTGCCTGGGCATCGTCGTTGGATGGGCTGGTGGGCATACGCGAAGCCTCCGATCCTGGGCCGCTGGCGGCTGGGGTCGCTTCCGAACGGGCGAATAGAAACACTGGAAACTGTAAATCTGCTCAAAACTGGTTCCCAGACCCCTCACGGGGTCCAAACGGTCCAGTTTTCCGAGCTGCGTCGAGTCGTGGCGACGAGGGGGTCCGCCGAAGGCCAACTACGGCAGGTTCGCGCCGCGACGTCGTCGGCGTTGGTCGCTGACACCGCGTGGATCGTTCAACCTTGAACGATCGGCCATTTTCCGATCGAAAGATCGTTCCCTAATGAACGATGCTGGGCCACTGGCGGCATTCAACCTTGAACGCCCGCGCTGGGGCGCTGGGGTCTCTTCCGCGCCGACGCGGCGCGAACATACCGCACCGGTGTCTCAAACGCGCCTCCCCTGAGAGAAGGAATAGTACAGGCGAAGAAGGTAGGAGAGTCGGGGAGGTGAAATGGAAGAGGAGGGCGGCAGCAGCGAGAACAGCGGCAGCAGAAAGAGGAGGAGGCGGCGGCGGATGCGCACCAGGCAGGAGCAGAAGATTGTTTCTATCCTCGTTCCAACAGGCACGGGCGCCGACGCGCGGTTAGAGCTGGCAGGCGTCCGCCTCTCCTCGTCATCCTCTCCTCGTCATCCTCTCCTCGTTTTTCTTTCTTCCCCCTCCTGCTCCCCATCCGCCTGCTCCTCCTCCCCCTGCAGGAGCGGCGGCGGCAACGGCGGTGGCGGCAGTGGCTGCTTTGGGGCCTCTGCGGGAGCTTCCCGGGGGACTATTGGGTGCCTGTTGGGGGGCTCATTGGGCCTCTTGAGGGCATCTTGGGAGCGTCTCGGGCCTCCTGGGGGTCTCTTGGGGCTGAGGGCGCGAGAGGCCGTTCAGATCCCGCGTTTGGGCCTCTTCTTGGGGCCGTCTTGGGGCCCCTCTTGGGCCGTCTTGCGCGCCTCTTGGGCCGTCTTGGGGCCCTCTTAAGCCGTCATAGGGTCGTTTTGGGGGCCTCTTGGGCCTCCTTGGAGCGATCTTCGGGGCCTCTTGGGCCGTCTTGGAGCGCCAGGAAACCGACGAGGCTAGAACTCGGAAGACCACCAAAAAACACTGGAAAAAAACAATGAAACATGCTTCCCTGGCCTCTCTTGGGAAGCCTCTTGGAGGTTTCTTGGGGCGCCTTAGAGGCGTCTTGGGGCGTCTTGGGGCCATCTTGGGCGTCTTGGAGCGATCTTCGGGCGTCTCGGGGCCCTCTTGGACCATCCTGGCGGCCTCCCGGAGCTGCTTGGCCCGCCTTGGGGCCCCTCCTGGGCCGTCGTGGGCGCCTCTTGGGCCATCTTGGGGCCCTCTTAAGCCGTCATGGGGTCGTTTTGGGGGCCTCTTGGGCCTCCTTGGGGCGATCTTCGGGGCCTCTTGGGCCGTCTTGGAGCGCCGGGAAACCGACGAGGCTGGAACTCGAAAAAACATCAAAAAACACTGGAAAAAAACAATGACAAATGCTTCCGTGGTCTCTCTTGGGAAGCCTCTTGGAGGTTTCTTGGGGCGCCTTGGAGGCGTCTTGGGACGTCTTGGGGCCATCTTGGGCGTCTTGGAGCGATCTTCGGGCGTCTCGGGGCCCTCTTGGAGCATCCTGGCGGCCTCTTGGAGCTGCTTGGCCCGCCTTGGGGCCCCCGGGGGCCCCCGTGGCACACATTTGTGGTCGAGGTCGTGGCTCCCGGGCCCCCGGGCCCGATCCCCGCTTATATGTATATACACATACACATACACGAGAGAGCGTGAACCACCGCCGCTTTACTGTGGAAAATTGCCAACCTTTTCCTCCGGAACCCGGGGGTCGCCCCCCCCCCCCCCTCCGAAAATCCCCCCCCCCTGCTGGAACCCCCCCCCCCCCCCCTTCCCCCGGCAAAACCCCCCCCTCCCTAACCCCCCCCCCCCCCCCCCCCTCCCGCTCGAAACCGGGGGGGGTCACTACCGTTCGAACCCCTCCCCCCCCCCCCCCCCCCGATCCGGAAAACCGGGGGGGGTCACTACCGGTTCGAACCCCCCCCCCCCCCCCCCCCCCCCCCCCCCCCTCCCCCTAGAGGAAACTACTCCGGTACCACCGCCATCCCGGTCCCCACCACCGTCCGCATCACATCCCCCACTGGTGTTCCCAGCACCACTGTCCTCACCACCGCTGTCCCCACTGGTTCCACCACCGCCCCTACTGTCCCCACCAGTGGCCCCACCACTGTCGCACTGTCCCCGCTGTCCCCAGAACTGTTCCCACCACGGTTCCACTCTCCCCACTGTCTCCACGGCCCCAACCACTGCCCGACTATCCCCACTGTCCCCACTGTCCCACTGACTCCTCCGCTGTCCCACTGAGCTGTCCCACTGTTCCCACCACTGTCCCCACTGTCCCCACCACTGTCCCCACTGTACCTCTGTCCCATTGTCCCACCGCCGTCCTCGCCACCGCCTTCACCACTGTCCCCACCACCATTGTACCCTCCACTGTCCCACTGTTTCCACCTCATTCCCATTGTCCCCACACCACTGTCCCCACCACCACCGTCACCACCACTGTCCACTGTCCCCCCCTGTTCCCACCATTGTCCCCACCACTGTCCCCACCACTACCGTCCCCACCACTGTCCCACTGTCCCACTGTCCCCACCACTGTCCCGCTATCCCCTCACCACTGTCCCCACCAACACCGTCCCCACCACTGTCCGCACCCCCACTCGGTTTTCGAGGGGGGGGGGGGTTCGAACCGGTAGTGACCCCCCCCGGTTTTCCGGATCCGGAGGGGGGGGGGGGGGTTCGAACCGGTAGTGACCCCCCCCCCTTTTCATGATGAGCAGGGGGGGGGGGGGGGGTGGGGGGGGGGGTTCGAACCGGTAGTGACCCCCCCGGTTTTCCGGAGGGGGGGGGGGGGGGAGGGGTTCGAACCGGTAGTGACCCCCCCCGGTTTTCCGCCAGCAGCGGTAGAACACGCTCTTTCACATACACATACACATACACATACACATACACATACACATACACATGCACATGCACATACACATACACATACACATACACATACACATATAGATAGCATGAAGGGGAAGCAGACCGCATGGCGAGCCAGTGACCGAACTCACTCACACACAGGCGCATTGAGCTTCTTCTCGCGCTTGCAGTTAAGAAATCGCGTCCACCGTGCATGTTTCTACACATATGGACACTACTGCGGTTTAGCACGCGAGCGGATTTTCGCGCCACGTCAGCAGTAGTTGAGCAGTGTAAATCAAGGGGGCTCTGTGAAAATCCTCAGGGCCTTAAGGCCTAAGGCATAGGGCCTGAGGGCCCCTCCCCTAGGGCCCCAGAGTCCCAGCGGGCGGCTTCTCTTCGCGCGCGCGCCCGGGAAGCAGCCAGGAAAACGCATTATTTCCGCATACTTGCAGGCGGCCGATTCGGCCGCGCATTCTTTTTGCATTCTTTTTTGGCATACAATCTGCATACTTTCAGGCGGCCGATTCGACCGCGCATTCTTTTTGCATTACTTGTGGCATACTCTTTGCATACTTTCTGCATATTTTCAGGCGGCCGATTCGACCGCGCATACTTCTTTGCATTATGTTACATTATTTCAGGACTGCGCATTCTTTTCGCATACTCTTTGCATACTTTCAGGCGGCCGATTCGGCCGCGCATACTTGTTGCATTATTTTTGCATTATTTTCAGCTTTCTTTTTGCATATTTTCAGGCGGCCGATTCGGCCGCGCATTCTGTTGACACTCTTTTCAGCATTATTTTTGCATATTTTCAGGCGGCCGATTCTACCGCGCATTCTTTTTGCATTATTGTCAGCATTATTTCAGCATTATTTTAGCACTCTTTTTCGGGCGCCCGGAAGAGCACCCGGAAGACCCGGCAGATCACCCGAAGACCCGGCAGATTTCTCCGGCCCGCAGTTAGGCCCCCTGCACCACTGGCCGCCCTGGCTGCCAGCCTGGCTTCCCTGGAGCCTGTGGCCTGTTCCCTCCTGGCCTGGCCGCCGAAGAGGAGCCAGCTGCCGGCTCTTCTTCGTCGCCCCTTCTGTCCCATCGCGGCAGCCGAGCTGCGCCACAACGGCAGCGCAAGGCCCATCGCGGGCGCCGAGAAGGAGGAGGGGGCGCGGGGGAGGATGGAAGAGGAGGAGGAGGAGGAGGAGGAGGAGGAGGAGGAGGAGGAGGAGGAGGAGGAGGAGGAGGAGGAGGAGGAGGAGGAGGAGGAGGAGAGGAGGAGGAGGAGGAGGAGGAGGAGAGGAGGAGGAGGAGGAGGAGGAGGAGGAGGAGGAGGAGGAGGAGGAGGAGGAGGGAGGAGGAGGAGGAGGAGGAGGAGGAGAAGGAGGAGGAGGAGGAGGAGGAGGAGGGGATACAGGAGATGCACACGAGAACCAGGAGCCAGCCAAAGCGATATCTATAAACGATTCGAACGCAGTGCGATCGAACGAAAGCGACGGCGACGCAGTAGGCAAGACGCAAAGACCGAAGTCCCCCAAGTAGGAGAACGAAGCAAGAGGTAGGAGGTGAGAGGGATGATGGGGGCCACAGAGGAGACGGAAAAAGGGGCGGGGGCCCGGGGCCGCAGCAACGGAACCCACTTGGGCCCGACCTGCGCGCAGGAGGACACATTGCCAAGGAAACGCCGCGTCAGTAAATTTACGCCACCGAGGAACCCCACATACTTATATTATAGCTGGAGTGATGATAGCTGAAGTGAAGCAACTAAGAATGATGTTGGTGGTCGTTCCCCGCCGATACCGTTGGCAACGCCAGTCAAGAGGAGAGGTGGAGAGGAGAAGCGCCGCGCCCACCACGCTTTGCGAGCCCCAAACGGATGACCGACCGCACCTCCAAGGCCCCCCCTGCGGCGTCGAGGAAGCGCAACGCCTGCCACACCAGCGCGCCCCCTGTGGCGTCGAGGAAGTGTCACGCCTGCCGCGCATTGCGGGCCCGAAACGGATAGCGACCGCACCCCCAACGCACCCCCTTCGGCGTCGAGAAGTTGCCACGCCTGCCACGTTTTGCGAGCCCGAACCAGATAGCGACCGCACCCCCAGCGCACCCCTTTTGTGGCGTCGAGAAAGTGCCACGCCTGCCAAGCTTTGCGAGGCCGAAACGGATAGAGACCGCACCCCCAGTAGCATCGAGAAAGTGCAACGCTTCCCACACGCTGCGAGCCCGAAACGGATAGCGACCACACTCCCAGCGCACCCCCTGTCTGTGGCGTCGAAGAAGTGTCACACCTGCCACGCTTTGCGAGGCCGAAACGGATAGCGACCGCACCCCCAGCGCACCCCCTGTGGCATCGAGAAAATGCCACGCCTACCACACGCTGCAAGCCCGAAGCGGATATCGACCGCACCCCCAGCGCACCCCCTGTGGCGTCCAGACAGCACCACGCCTGCTAGGCTGTGCGACAGCGTCGTGCATAGCGGCCGCGCTGACAGACCACCCCCTGCGCACCCCCTACGATGTCCAAAAAATGCCACGCCTGCTAGGCTTTGCGACAGTGTCGTGGATAGCGGCCGCGCTGAGAGACCCCCCCCTGAGCACCCCCTTATGGTGTCCAGAAAGTGCCACGACTGCTAGGCGTGGCGACAGCGTCGTGGATAGCGACCCCGCTGAGAGACCCTA